TTCTGTCTACTTGTTTGTCTGGTGCTTCATGGGAACAGGTGGAGTACAGACTTGAGGAAGGGGGTTGGGGTTAAAAGTTTCTGTGTCGTCTTTTGTGTTTCTTAGATTCAGCAGTGCTCATTTTGTTCTTCTTGTGCTCTCTCTTTCTGTTCCCCTCTCCTCTGTGCAGGGTTCCTCAGGGAAGGATCAGTGCAGCAGAGACCTCCTGGTCTCCTCCATCTTTGCTGTAGCCAGCCGCAAAAGAAAGAAGTCAAGGGAGAAGCCGCAGCCTAGCAGCTCAGACGATGATCTGGATTCTGTATTCCTCAAGAAGGAAATCCTTGGCCAGAAGCCAAACCAGCAGACCGAGGCACAGGGCGAGACTCGTCCCAGCCCTAACACCAAACCCAGCACGAAGCAGCAAGCACGGACAGAAGAGAGGAAGGAGAACGGGAGGACAGTGGAGCTCACACCTAAAGCTAAGAGAGAGCACCGAAACTCTTTATTCCTGAGGGAGAAGATTACCCCCAGACGCTCCTCGCCTTCACCTTTACCTTCCCCAAAGATTTCCAACTCTCCCAACATTAGCTACCAAACAGCTCCTCAGGGAAAATCCTCATTGTCAGACCCTCCGTCCCAGCTTGATGAAAACACCTCAGACCTTGGGACCATGAGCTCTGGAGCATCAGTGCCACGATCCAGACCGAAAAAGTGGATTGCGGGAGTGTCCCCTGATCTGCCAGCAGGAGCTGCTCTGGGAGCAGGTGCGGGGGCGTCCGCTGGCGCAGAGGTGAGCTCTATCACCTCTGACTACTCCACCACCTCCTCTATCACGTTCCTGACTGGAGCGGAGTCGAGCGCGCTGAGTCCAGAGCTGCAGGGTGGCGAGGAGGCAGATGATGAGCGCAGTGAGCTCATCAGCGAGGGACGACCGATGGAGACAGACAGCGAGAGCGACTTTCCAGTTTTTGCTCCAGGCGGCGGCAGCAGCCAGTCCACACCCTGCCCAGTGCAAAGTCAAGAAAAGGCAGAGGCCAAGGGGGGCAGTGCTATCGAAGGTGGCACCTCACCAAAACTGGAGGCACGGCGGCTCTTCCCAACACACCGCATGATCGAGTGCGATACCCTCTCAAGAAGGTGGTCCCTGAAACAGAAAACAGACAGTGAATCATCAGTCGAAGGGGCTGCTGGCAGCGGGGAGCGAAGCGAGGGCAGGGCGGAGTCTTCCAGCCGGTTGTCTCGAGTCCTGGAGGTGATGAAAAAGGGCCGATCCACGAGCAGCCTCAGCTCTTCTTCGCGCAGTGAGTCGGAGCGATCCGAACCAGCCTGGCACCTTAAGATCACAGAGAGGCTCAAGTTTAGGCTACGAACGTCCGCTGATGACATGTTTACTCAGAAGAACCGATCTCCCGACGGTCGCAGTAAGAAAAAGAACATCCGACGGAGGCACACCATGGGCGGGCAGAGAGACTTCGCAGAGCTGGCAATCATCAACGACTGGCGGGAGCAGGGTGGGGTGGACCAGGCGGCCGAACTCTCAGCTCTAGACCCCCTGAAGCCTAGATGCTCCTCTCAGGACTTATCCATTCGGGACTGGATTGCGAGGGAGCAAAGCAGAGGCTCCGAGCAAAGCAGAGGCTCCGAGCCAAGCATCGAGGTTGCGCCCAAAGCGGTGCCTGAGGATGATCACGCAGAAGTGCATGAAGAAAGACCTCCCGAAAGACCTCCACCTCCACCGCCTTCGGATTCCCCTGGGGCTCAGCCTCCAGCCGGGGAGCACATTAACGGCAGAGGGCTGCAAAGCAAAAACAAAGGCTCCTTAGGGGACGACGCTCACCCACACAAACTCTCTGGAGCGCAAGTTGTCCGCTCACGGTTCTACCAGTATCTGTGAAACGGAAAACAAAAAACAAAACCGGGATGAATGTGTACGTGTATGAATGTGGGTATTTTAGCTGAGGTTACTGCACAATATTTTTTCTACAAAGTATACTTTATGTATCTACTGTACATACTTATTATGATTGTTACTGGAATTCGACTGAAGAGATGTCTAACACAGACTTTTCCCAACGAGTGCAAGAATCTGACTTTAATAGGACACGATGACAAATATAAGGGTCAACTCGAGTATTACTGAAGAAAGCAGGTGCAAGAGTTTTTTTTAATAAGGAATCATGACTCAGTTCTTCCTCTTTGGAGCGGTATGAAGAATGTATTACACTTTTTGGACTAACATGAGTTGCTTGTGACAATAATGTCTTTTTCAAAACGGCATGTCTGTGTTTTTCTCGGCTGTACTTGAAGTACGTGGAAGTAACTGAGGGCTGCTTTCTGAGCTGAGTGCTGTGGGAAGTTTATTTTTTTCTTTTTATGTTTCTTGTTGTTTTATTTTGTATTTTCACAGCACACTCACAACAGCCAGATATTAGCTTGAGGAACTGGGGGATTATTATAGTTTTATGAAATAAAAGACTGAGAAAACAGTAATAAAAGCTGATACTACAGTATGTAATGCTTGGTACAGTAGTTTTGTGAAGGTATAGTCCAAAAAGTGAGTTTTTACATACGAAAAAAAAGTGCCTCTTTTATTTGTTTTGTTTTTAAACTGTTTTTATGGATGGTTGGAAACACAAGGAGGGTTGTTTTTTTTTTTTCTCTTTTAACCTCACAGGCATTCCAGATTTTATCCTGTTTTTAGTTAAACTCACAGCAGCATCGGAGCAACATCAGATTTTTATCGCGGTAATGTTTCATTATAGTTTTATTTCAGTTTTCCACCCCCCCGGGTTTTGCAGTAAAATGGAACGGGTGCTTTAAAAAGCTGGGAGAAAAAAAAAATTATGTTTGAAACTGCATGAGACAATGTTTGCTGAAGAGTGAACATCTCGCCCGTGTTTACAGAAAAACATGGGCGCAACATCACCTCCTCCCCTCAACAAACACTGGAAATAAATAACCTTTATTTAGACCTTCGTCTCTTTGGCGTCATTGTTATTATTCTCAGAAAACATCTGGGAAGAATAATAGACCAGATTTTTTTTTTGTCCAAACAAATATATTTATTACAATAAATCGCATATGTTTTTATCAAAGCGTTGTGTTGCTCTTCAGATTTGTATGCTTGCATCACGTTGAAATATTACAACAGCCTGATTTAAATCACAACAATCATGACAGCTGTTGTAATGCAACACCAGCTTCAAAGCTCAGGAATATACAATGATCTCTTGGCTTACTTTCCTGCTTTAAACAGATGGGGTGAAACTGACAGGGATTGTAGACAAATGTTTCTTAATTTTGATGCCTTCAGGATATAAAATTCTGCCTCATTCCAAGAAGTTTAAATAGAAATCTGAGATCCCAGCAGTTCATGCACTGCAAACAATATGAAGCATAAATAGTTGCAGAAATAAACAAATTACAAATAACTGACACAAAAAACTCACTGCTCTTGTAATTTACAGACAAAGTTTGTAGATTTTTTCTGTTTTATAACAAAAGTCATAATTGGGGTGGCAAACCAGAGGCTTGGGGTCCAGAAGCAGCCCACAGAAAGAAAGGCTTTGGAAAACGTGAAGGAGGGTTTTACAACTTTTCCTACTGATGAAGACCTCATCATTGGCCACTCATACTAAACAAAAGTAATTTAGTAAAGAGAAAAGCTCCTGTTTTTCCACCATGTGAGCTACCAGAACTTTTTCTTGTAGTTTTATAAATTGATTCAAAATATTAAATGTCAAAGAGCCATGCTGACAGATTGCTTTCATTTTCTACAGTTTTCTTAAAAATGCAGAAAACCTGAGACATATGCTGAAATTCAGTTAAATAATTAGCAACATGAATTATTATCATATTAAAGATTGTATCTTTTGAAAATAGGAATGTATATTTTTATTCTCGACTCTTTTATATGACTTAATCCTACAGAATAAAACAGAATGAAATTGTAGGATAAGTTGCATAGTAAACCAAAAGGATCTGATGAATTTTAATTCCTTTGATTTTTCTATTTTTTCTTCCGAAAAGAACTACTTTCTTTTCTGGCCCATCTTTTGTTTTCTCTTCCATTATTAGTTGGGAAGACCTAATTTGGAAAGTGAAGCTGTTCGCGGAGCATGAATTTCAACAAGTAAAACAGCAGAAGAGCTAAATGAATAAATGAAAACACAAAGGATACTGTAGAATGACCACTCGGTAGCGTTCCTTATAACCTTGCTTTACTGAACATGTGCTCAGCATCCATCACTTAGAACAACACAACAACGGGTACGACAGCTAGGAATAAACTACTAGACAGCCCTGCTGCAAAAGCATATCATATGGCGTAAATCCACAATACCCCACGGCTCAATGTAGGCACTAACATAACCCAGTATATGACAGATACTACAGTATCATTACTTTTGTAATGATCAGAGCTGATCAGAGTAAAGGTTTGAATGGGTGTCATTACCCTGTCTTACTTGGCTAGTTAAAAATCTACTTATGTGGTTAAAATCAGAATAAAGTTATATTAACAAATACAGCATAAAAATTGGTTTAGAGGATTAAACTGCTCCTGAAGAATTTCTTTTTTTATTTTAGTCATTTTTACTAGAGTGAGATGGAGTTTTTTTTCATTATGAAGAACATTTTCATTCACTATATTTACTCTAATGCTTCACGATTGTTTTTTTTTTTCCTTTCTTCTTTTTTTAAACTTAGAAGGCTGGAGTTTAGGACGCAGATAAAAATGACGCAAATCTCGCTCATTTCTTAATATGTGTTATAAATAAATAAATAAATAAACAAATAATGGCTTATTAAATGTCGTTCCCGTCACAGTACGGCAGTACTCACGGTATCCATGGCAACTCTATACTTCCTGTTTCTGGGTGACATACCGATGAGCCTCACACTTCCGTAATCAGCATACATAAGCGTGTTGAACAATTCAAAATACATAAAAGTAAACTCCATTATGAGGAAGAAGCGAATCAGAGCTGACAACATCAACCCTGTGGGGTCTGAATGGATCCTTTACTACACTGACACAGCAAGACAATTAGCATATTTTGCTTTATTATTATTGATTTTATGTTTTGCAAAAGACGGAGCCTTGCCCTGTCATTGCATCAAATCATCAAAAGCTGCAATAACCATGAACCAAGATGCACAATTGTCACGGTCCTTCCACATAAAGCACACGACTTGTACTTTCTGCCGAGAAAGTACAAGCTCTGCTTCGCGTGACGTAACGTAAAGGCGAGCCCGTGTTTTTCCGCAGAGCTGGAGACGTTCACTTTATGCAAGCCTCCACCTGTCCTGACACCGGTGCACAGTTCAGGTAAGACAGAGTTATTTACTTTAATAAACGAAAAGAGCACCGAATGAACACCTATCTGAAAGTGGAAGATGGCATGCGTTTATTTGGCAAGGGTTTTTTTTGGTTTTGTTTTGTTTTATTTATTTAAGATTATTTTCTACGGTTTGATCTTCTTTTCTTCTCGTTGGTTTAACCGTCCGTTGTCTTAGATGAGAGTTTACTGTGATTTTTCTTTAATAATATTCTGGAGTCCCGTCTTTGGCTATATTTCAAATATTTGCATTCTTGTTACATAGCACTGAGAAGAAGCAGCACCTGAGTCCCACGGGAATTTGTTACGTGACACCAGAAGAACAGGTGTAACAAGTGAACAGGTGCGACAAACAACCTGTTTGCTTTCCGAAACAAAAACACCAAGCAGCAGAGATTTTCTCAAGTAAAATAAAGTAAAACAATGCAAACAATTACAAAAAAGCAGGTATTGTGTATACATGGTGTCTTCCCCCTGTACCACTGAAAGTTAAATTCTTTTTACAAAACACTCATGTTTAAAACATTTACTTAACTTTGAAAGCTTTTAAACTACTAAAAACAGCCCTGCTGTT